AGCATGACACAGACGGGAAAGTAACCACACCCGTATGGAGTCCACCATAGGGTTCCAGCCATAAACCCTAGTCAAATCAGCATGACTAGGAGCGAGTCCACGCCCGTCAAGTCCATGACGTTGGCCGTGTCAAGTCAGCATGACACAATAAATCATAACACACCCGTATGGAGTCCACCATAGGGTTCCAGCCATAAACCCTAGTCAAGTCAGCATGACTAGGAGCGAGTCCACGCCCGTCAAGTCCATGACGTTGGCCGTGTCAAGTCAGCATGACACAATAAATCGTAACACACCCGTATGGAGTCCACCATAGGGTTCCAGCCATAAACCCTAGTCAAGTCAGCATGACTAGGAGCGAGTCCACGCCCGTCAAGTCCATGACGTTGGCCGTGTCAAGTCAGCATGACACAATAAAATCGTAACACACCCGTATGGAGTCCACCATAGGGTCCCGACCATAGCCCTAGTCAAGTCGGCATGACTAGGGGCGCATCACACGCCCGTCAAATCCATGACGTTGGTCGTCGCATCGCATGCGACCATATCCCAATCACAATCACGCTTACTCGTACCGCACGAGCGAGCTACAACCATGGCAAACATCGATCATGCATATTAACCCCAGTACAATCATGCGTAACCCGGTATTCGGCCCCGACCGTTACACCGTTTAACGCCATACAAACTACCCAAAAATAAACACACAACGATTCACTCGCGATGTTTATCCTCACGTCTCACCATGCGCAATCATTCAGTTTATTCGGATTTATTTTCTCTTTTATCTCAAGTTGGTCCAAACCGAACCAAGATTCGGCCCGGTGGACCAAAATTCGGTCCGGTCGGACCGGATCGGGTCCGTCCCCTCTTCGTTGGTCAATCGGACCATTTTTGGGCAAAAACAGGCCTGGTCCGCCGGACCAGTTTCTGGTCCGGGGCGGACCAGGCTTCCTCAGCCCTGTCGCCTTGGTCTGGCGGATTAAAAATGATTTTCCGAACTTGGTCCGGAGCTGACCAGTTCCTGGTCCGGCGGACCGGAACTGGGCAGTTC